AGCCCTGGCTGGACAGACAGCCAGCGGCTGGAATGATGAGGGCCAATCCAACCAGTCTGAGCGCCAGTAACGATCAGATGCAGTGTAAATCGCTCCCGGGAGCAGAAGCCCAGCTTAAGGGCTCAGCCTGGGACTTTCCACTTGGCTGCAGCAGTTCGGGACAGAGCCACAGACGGACGCATGGACAGAGCCATGGATTTCAGCAGGAGGCCGAGGGAAAAGCAGATGCAAATCACTGGGGCTCAGGGGCCAGGGAGAGCCTCAGGGCTGGGGCTGAGCAGGGAGCTGGCCTGAGCCCCAGCCCGGGCCTGGATTACTGCCTGCAGCCAGCTCCCGTCTCCCTGCCAGCCTGCTGGGCTCTGCAGAGTGGGATTAGCACAGCCCCCATCTGCCGATCCTGCCGCACTGGGATGTCCAGCCCCATGAGCCTGGCACCCTGGTCCTGCTGGGGACGAGGGCCTGGCTCCCACCGTCCATGGCTGGCCACCGTGTTGCTGCCCCATTGGAGCGTCTGATGCCCCCACAGCTCCCCCATTCTACTGCAGGCAGGCTCCCATGTGAGCATCTCTCCCCCACGGGCTCTGTGGCTCTCCTCCCCCCAGCCCCATTGGGACGGCTTCTGCTGGGAGCCTCCAGCTGTGCCCAGGGAGGGGGCTGTTAATTCGGCTCCCTGCTTTCCTGACCCGGGGGGCAGAGTGGGAACCAGGACCTCTGGGGTTTAGTCCCAGCTTGAGTAGGGAAGCAGAGTCCAGCTACCAGAGAGGGAGGCCTGGGAAGCAGGACCCCGGCCTTCCATTTCCAGCTTGGGGGAAGGCGTAGCGGGGAGGGGTTACAGCAGCAGACTGGCCAGGACTCCTGGGTTCCATTTCTGGCTTTGCCATCGACTCACTGCATCACCCTGGGTGAGCCCCTTCCCCCCTCTGTGCCTCAATTTTTGCACCTGTAAAACAGGGGAGTTGCCCCAGGGCTCCTACCTCCGAGGAGGAACCGGCCTGCGTTATTAGCTAACACCACGAAACCTCTGGGGGTACAAAAAAGCTCTTCCTAGCTAGCCTAACTGCAACTGTTCCTATTATCCCTCTAAACGTCCAAGCCGGATTTTGAACCCAGGTAAGCTCCTGGCCTTGGAATCCTGTGGCAGTGAGTTCCACAAGTTGTTTTTGCACTGAGTAACCTTTTAGGACTTGGAAGCGTGTTACCCTTGACGGGTTTTTTTTCATCTCAGGCAGTTTCCTTGCACCGATCTCACAACACTTTATGACCAGATTCTCCCACCTGCCCCAGCAGGCAGCTCGGCATGAGCCCCGTTTTCCAGCCCAGCCGCGCTGCAATGCAGAAAGCAGGGGTGTTTCCGAAGGGAGTCGAGGCAGGAAGGCACCAAGCTTCCCAGAGGAAAAGCCTCCTCTCCACTCTACAGCCCAGGATTTGTGGCACTGAGGAGTGGCTGGATGCTGGGACGTGGAGCCGACGCTGCAACAAAGGGGGGCTGTTCCCCGTGCCGAGGGGAGGGGCGCACAGTGCAACAGGCTGTTGGCAGCACTTGAACTCGCCCTGCCCAGCGTCAGGGCCCCATCCTGCCAGGCACTGCCCAGCCCCTCGCTGAGACAGCACCTGCCCCCCACAGCAAACTGTCTACAGACTAAGAGGCCCAGAGGCAGCTCCACCCAAGGTCCCCACAGCAGGGCAGTGGCTGAGTCTCCTGCCTCGCCCCCTGCGGCCCTGCCCTCCCCGGCCGATTCTCCCCAGCCTGGCAGCTGCTTCCAAGGCCTCGTCTTGGCTGGCGCAAAATCGAGCTTGCACCAGGGTGAGCCGCACTAGTGCAAAGCCCATCTCTTACTCGTGCGGCGTTCACGGCCGCATCCACGCGGCCCCCGGGGCCTTGAGTCCGCTGCTCCTGCTTTGCAGAGCCAGTCGCCCAGACACAAGGGTCAGTGACAACCCAGGCGGGGCCGCTGATGCCCCAGCCCCGCCCGCCCCCTGGCTCTTGGGCTGAGCCATGTCCCATCACACCCCTGCTCTCTCATGGCACTTTAACAGGGTGCCTAGCACAGGCCTGCAACCCTCACGTGAGCCCCTGCCCCACGCCAGAGCTCTCGCAGGTGAGACGGCTCCTGGGCTGGGGGGCTGGACACCTGGGTTCAAAAAGCCCTGTCCCAGACTTCTTGGTCGACACCTCGGTGCCTCTCTCTGTGCCCAGTTCCCCGTCCGGGGTGAGCTTTCCCTTTCTCCCCTCTGGAGAGTAGGGGCTCGTCGGCCCCCAACACAACCCAGATCCGAGAGCGACCAGCTCCCGTTCATCCACGAGAGGGCAGAGTTTCCACGCCGAATTCCCTCGCCCAGCCGCTGCTGAGGCCAGCTGGGGGGGATCCGGGTCCCAGCCCCCAGGGCACGAGGCAGGAGTGACCTGGACACGGTGCAGCTGGTTCCGGAAGACAGCTCTGAACACTGAACGGCCCTGGGGGTGTGGGCACGGACAGCGGATCCCCAGCCCCGCTTCACCCACCTCTGGGGTGCAGCACGATAGCAGTTGAACAAGCCCCCAGAGACCACCCCTGAGATGCAGCCACAGCTGGGGTGGAGTGCAGCAGCTGTTTAACACCCAATTGGGAGGAAGATCCCGTCTGAGGAATTTTAAAGGGAACAGGACAGTGGCCGCTCCAGCGGGAATTTGGCCAGGTCAGCGGGAAGCTGTTTTACATTTTAAAACACAGATGTGTTCACCGCAGCTTAGCATGGCAGAGCTCTTCCCAGGCAGGAATGAGTTACACCTCCCTGGGCTCTGGGAGACGGGGACTCACCCCCGCCCCCAGGAAAGGAAACGGAGGCACGCAGTTTCTGACCAAGCGCCATTTGCCAGGGGCTGCACCCCCTTCAACACCCCTCAGTTCCTGGCAACGGGATCCACCCCATTCACCCTGCCCAGAGCCTGGCCCTCTCAGGGCTGGGGCAGGCCCCTCCCCACACATTTATGGGGCTAGTTAACCTCGAAACAGTCCAGGCAATTGCTTTCACCTTTTGAACCCTTAGTTCCTTGGTTCCTGTTCCCCTTCCCCCCCCCCCACCCCCTGCCACCTTGGCCAGACCCCCCCAGCGCCCCACACAAGGGGGGGCTCCTGTGCAGCAGCAGGGCTCTGTCTACCCCAGCGTCCACAACCCCCGGAGCCAGAGACCCTCCAACCCCAATCACAAAGAGTCGCAGCGAAAAGCAGCCAGGCCAATCCCGTGAGACCCCGAGATAGTGTCGCTGCCCAGCCCCCTTTAGCAATGCAGAGACAAGGTGCCCTCCATGCCCCCCACAGCACAGCTCTGCCTGCTCCTTTACGCCTTGTCACGGCACTGGGGTTCAGTGACCCACAGCGTGAATCGGGGAGAGCCATGCCTTCCCTTCGCTCTTCAGCCAAACTGAGGCAGAGCAGGGGCCCCAGGACACCTCGGTTCCAACCTAGGCAGCATGTTCCCAAGCAGGTCACTTACTCCTTCTAACTCAGTTTCCCCCAAACCAGAAATAATTCTGACCTACCCCTCCAAGGGCTGGCTCAGTTCTTCCAAAGCACTAAGATCCGCTGACAGGGCTATGTGCATGCAGAGTGTTAATCCAGGCCCAGTGGATGTTGACTCTGAAACCTAATGATAACACTATCCCATTGCCGATCTTTTTTGCAGCTGCTCTGAGATGGCGGGTGAAGCACACCACCAAGTATTTCCCCCTCCCCCGACTACTCTAAGGTTTTATATACAGCACCCAGCACCACGGTCTCAGAGTGCTGACCAGCTTCGGTGAACATTCCCCATGCTCCCCAACCCCCCATCTCGCTCTCAGACCCTGAGCACAGAGACTCCAGGAAATTCTTTTTGCATACAAAACAAAGTTTAATTGATCCAGCCACCCCCACCCATGAGTGCTGCCCTGTCAAGAGGGCTTGGGGAAGAGACTCCGACATCAGAAAAGAATCCATATTCAAATCCCCTTTGCGGCCTGAAATTCACAACCGTTTCTTGGGTTTAAGGAGAACTAAGGCAGCAGATGGCGAGGCAGGAGGGTGGGCGGAACCCTGGCCGGATCAGGGTTCGGCTGCCGCCGCTGGCACAGCCAAATTGAGACCAGACCAGGTCTTGGAAGGACTGTAAAACAGATTCCGGTTCCAGCAGCATTAGAAAACAAGGGAGTCCCGCAGCCAAGGGGAACTGGGCCCATGCTGGGGACCGGGGCAGAGACTGCTGTAAACATGTGCGTGCAGGCTTAGACATCGGCTATAAATATCCAAAGCCCTCCCGCCCCCGCCCCAAAAAAACCCCATAAATACATTCGGCAAGAGAAGCCCCTTCCATAAACGCAGTGCGCCGGATACACACGGGCTGCTTCCAACCTGGGAATGTGCAAACGCAGGCCCTGCCCGCCGCCGAGCGCGGGGCCAGGCAGTGAGGTACAGTGTGTTTGTGGGTTACCCGTAACAACGCCAGGCCAGGGGGCTCTGGTGGCGTCTAGCCCTGGGTTCCCCGCTCCCGGGGCTGCGAGGAAACTTCTAGGTAGAGGCAGGGAGGCGGCCACTCTCCCTGGCCCCGCAGGAAGCTCGAGGCAGCAGCGCTCACATCAGGAGGCAGCTGCGCTCGGTGCCGTAGGAGTTGTCCACCCGGTCGATCTCCTCTATGATCTTGGTGAAGATTCCCCAGGTCATCTGTGGGGATGGAGAGGGGGGGTTTGAATGACAGCTGGGAGGCCAGCCCCATGGCCCTCTGAGGGATGGGATCATTGGGGAGCCCCCTTGGGGGAGGTCCTGAAGGAATCCACCCGCCCAGCATCTGCCGCCCCCCCCCCACTACCCCCACCCCCCAGGAGCGCCTCTATTCCGGCAGCAGCTGCTGGGCTGTCGGGGGGAATTCAGTCACTCCTGTCTCCGCAGTGCAGGAACCTCACCCCTCTGTGCAGCCCCCTGCCCTCCCCACAACCCCTCAGCTCTACTGGGAGGGGCAGAGCCACACTCCCCCCCCCAAGCCTGCAGGTACCAGGAGATGCTGCAGAGACGGTCCATAGGCTCCCGGGCCCTTCAGCATCTCACTCTCCCCCCCTCCCGCCCCCCCGAGTGTGGGACCAAGAGGTGAAATATACCAGACCTGGTTCTCTTTGGCCGACGACTCCAGGAACACGGCCCCCCAGGAATCCGCCAGCTTCTTGCCCTCGTCTGTCTTCACCTCCCGGCTAGACACACGACAGGGGGTTGAATGGGAGCCGGATGAGGAGTGAAGATCCCTTAGACCAGAGCTGCCCACCCCCCAGGAACGCGTGAGAGGAGGGAGGGGGCAGCGGGCTGGAGCCCAGGGCTTGGCAGGGAGCTCTAGGGAGATGGGGTGCAGGGAGGAACCGGCTGACAGACCACAGGGCCATCCCAACAGCAGAGCCACTTCTTACCTCTCCATGGAGAGATCGGCCTTGTTCCCGACCAGCACCACCGGCATCCTGTCAGAAGAGCAAAGTGAGCCGGGATCCGGCTGCCTCCAGCCCACGCCTCCCCAGCTCCAGTGGGCCATGGCCCAGGCACACCCAGCCGGCCAGGTGTCCAGCCCTCCCTGAGGAGGACCCCCGAGGCCATGGCCCGTTCAGCCAAGGGGCCCAGTTAGCATCCACAGCCTCGGTGGGTTGTGGGGCAGGCACATGCCCCATTTGGAGTCCGATGGCCGGGGATGGAGTGGGTCCACCCAGGGCAGCTGCAGCCCCAGCCTCTCCCCGAGCCCCCTTGTTGGGACAGGCCGGGCCCCGGACAGGGGAGGGGAACTCTTACCGGGTTTTCCCTCTGCTTTCGTACAGCCTGTTGTGAAGGGTCTTAACCACCTGGAAGCTGCAGAGGGGAGACGGGGAGCGGTCGCTAAGGAGAAGCCACGGAGCTGCAGCCGCGCTGCTCCGCCGCCAGGCTTGGCCCAGCAGGGCCCAGCAATGCTGATGACAGGATTCGGGGCAAACCCTGGGGCTGGGCAGGTTCTGCTCCAAGAAGTGACGGTTAAACTGGCCTATCCCTGTGTCACGCCAGGGTGGGCCCGATCCCCCTGCACAGTCGGCTGGATCCCAGCCTGGAGCTGGCCGAGCCATCGATTAGCCTGGGCAGCAGGCAGCCCCGCCACAACTGGGGGGCACAACCCGGGGTGGGGGGAGCTGCTGTATTGCTGGTGACGACCCGTGAGCCTGGAAGGCCCCCTCCAGAGCTGCTACCCAGGGGCAGTTTGATGGGGCAGTTGGGAGAACAGCCCCCTCTCTGATCCGGAGTCGCGGCCGAGGACACGGGCTGGCTGCAGCGTGGGGGCTCACTGAGCTCCCAGCCCCACCGCACCGCACGGCCCCTCCCCCGCGCTGGAGCTAAGCCCCGCCCCCCGGGGGGGGAAGCCCTCACCTTCTGAGCGAGGTGACCGAATAGACCAGCAGGTATCCATGGATCCCGATGCTGAAGGAGGGGGGCAGGATGGTGTACTC